GAAATACATTTTGCAACCATCTCAGATACCTACAGCGTGTGTTTCTGCATATGCAGATACATAATAAATGTGCACATTGATGAAGAATAATGCAACAGATAAGATACTTAATTCTGTCGGGCACTTGTAGTGCCAACACTTTTAGGGCCCTAAGCAAAAAAAAAGAGGCCCCACTTTCAATTAATAAAATCCTAGTGAGGTGAACGTAGTATTTTCTACAAGAGATATAGATGTAACGAGATTAAAACTAAAATGTGTAGAAAAGATAGGGGTGTAATGGCAAGAGAAGACGAGAGCCACACACAAGATGTAATGAGAGAGATTACCTAGCCGTGTATGTTCATTGACTTTTATATTTATTGGAATCTGTGTTCGATAAGCTATTTCGTGCGTCCATATGTTTTTCATGAACCTGGGACACCTTGAGCCATTTAGAGTCGTGCACTTTTGCTTCATTTGGGCATGCCTACACCACTATTCTGTGGAAATTGCACTCTGCAGATAAACTCTGGAGCCACTTGTCACGAGCATTACTGGGTATGATGATCACACTGCACGTAGGGACCTGATTGGAAGTACTCTGACACGGTGCCACTTTGCTTGCATGGACCAACCAGTTAAGGTTGGTACTGATATAATAAAACAAGTGGTAGATAAAAAAAAAATCTACATCTAAAAATGTAAACGTCTCACATCAGTTAATTTGTTGCACCAAAGGGACAGTTAAGGTGATCTTTCAAGTATCGATGGTGCAACACTGTAACAGCAAGAAATGATTTTGCCACTTAGCTGTGACTTGGGCTAAGTGCCATGCACAAGGTCCTGTAGCCGAGTATGATGAATTGCCTCTCCCTGCTCCTTATAGGCACTTTGGTGGTTGCAGAAAGACGCAACAACATGCATGAAATTGATCTGCCATGGCCCCATATCTCCAGCAGATTGTAAAATAGCAACGTGGTATGTGACCTAATGTTGGTTTATGAAGCTGAACAAAGTTTATAGAGTGTAGATAAATGTCCTCCTGTATGTGTTAAGACACTGCTTATATCTGCCTGTGTAGCGTTTCAAATGTGTCTGCTTTTTTGATAATTAAGTTGTTTCATAATAATTAACAAAGACACTTTGATAAATAAAAATTGTACTGTGGTAATAATCTAGTCCACAGTATTATTTTATATCCACATATAATTTACCTAGATTAGCCATACCAGCTGTGTGATACGTAAAGCATCTAGCATAAAACAATATTTTATCAACTAAACTTTACATCACAGCATTATTTTACCGTGACTTGATTGTAGAATTTAGCAAGGGGAGTATTTGACCAGTGATCATCATTCTCAAGAGCGTTTCTAATTCCGGCAACCTTCATTAGTGCTTGTATGCAATTGTCGTTTTTATATATTTTTTTCTCTCACAAGAACGGAAAGGAGAAACAGAGGGCTGAAAGGAGAAATAGGAGGCTGCACATTACCAGCGTGGAGGATATTTGTTTTTGCGTATATATGGGATGCCACTGGTGATACATCTTGAAATGTTATTTTACAAAGTAAGGCATCGAACCTTAAACAATGTGCTGAAACATGGAGCTCTTGTGGTATTCTTTTCTCATAAGTTACAAAGACTAATCTGTCAGCAATATATCCTCGTAAAAAATATATAACTGACAATTCCAACACTTTTGTTGCAAGGCCAATTATTATTAACTTTTTAAATTACATTCCTTAGACTCGAGGAAAAAACAGTTTTAAAAAAATTGAACTCTGCATTACACTTGACATCTGCACATAGGCGCGTGTTATACGAACGCATAAGAAACATATTTGTTTGGATGACTGATCATGAACACGTAACAGCATGCTATATTTTATATGCTGCTATATGAGGCCTACCTGTCTGTTCACTGTCAGAACATTAGAATTAATGTACATGTATTTCATTTGTTTAATTGCGTTTGTCAGCACTCTGAGATTGATGGCTTTCAAATACACAATATAATACAATTATTGAATTTCTAAATGGATTTTCAGTGTGAAGCTTGCGTTTTTTTTGTTTAAATTGATGACCTGTGCAGCACAAAAAAAATAAAAATTGCACAATGTTTGCCCAAAAAGCATGTTTTATTGGATTCGTAATACAATCTATCTGTACTGAAATTGTAGTTTCAAATTAACTCACAGAATAACTGAAGGGAAAAATAAATAAACAAACAATATTTCAATATCATTACTCTTCGTACATAACTGGTATAACATACCTAAAACGACGACCTTGCAAATGTATTTTCAGATGGCAGTGAAAATAATTCTCGAAGTTTCGGTTCTTGCCATATGAACACAATTTCTGAATATAAAAAAATACTTCAATTTAAAATATAAATGCATTGCTTGAAACATTTAAATAAATGGCGCGTGGATTATGCACTATCAAAGGCAGATAACATAAAGCACACTGGAAAAAACTGTATTCACTTTTAGTGTGGTGGGACACGGGTCATTGAAGGAGATAAGTACATGTGCACGTTAGAAAGTGATGGTTGTTTACTAACATCAACACTGTTGGTTCACGGTGTGACAACATTTATTGGTATACATTTATATATATGTTGTTAAGGAACCTGGGTGGCTTAGAGATCAGACCAATGAGACAGCACTGCCAAGACACTGGGCATGAATCGAAGTTTCTGACAGCAGTGATTTGACCAGGCTCTCCAGTGTAATAAGCGTATGGTTTCAGCCTTGTGGTCACCAGTGACTGTACATAACCAAAATAAACGCCAGATTAAGTTTGGGATTTCATGTGTGGATAAAATGTGTGGATAAAAAAAGTCACTTAGGATCTCATGAGTAGCTCTGTGATATCTGCTTAAGAAAGCCATTCTCTACACACGGGGTATGTACTCCACTGCAAACGTTTCAAATGGATATTTCAGCTCATGACATGATGCCAATCGCATACATGTAATAGTTTTGTAACAACAAGAAATGTAAAACGAAGAAAAAATTTCAACAAAGTTGTGGCTTTCTTACCCACAGTTTTTACCCACAAATAAATGTACTAAATACGAAACCATTTCGTTATTTTAAACTACAACTGGAAGCGTGATTTGTCATCATCATTATCAGCCATGATCAATCCAAAAGAGAATTAATTATTCCATAACCCTTTGCCATCTCTCACAGTCTTGTGATGTTACAATCTACCTAGCGCTAGCACATTTTATTTCATGGATATACTGTTGCTACTCATGCATTGCAATTCTCACCCACTGGTTTCCCTTAATTACTTCAAGAAATGTGTTCAGTCAAACCCACATACTTTCCTTAGCAGCCATTATGAGGCCCCCAACTTGCAATTTATTTCATCCATGTGTTCTCATCCTGTATGTCTGTGTAATAATGATGCATCTCTGCATATATGCTTCTTCATGAACGAATTCAGTTTGTGTTTTACTTCCTTCATCAGTGTCCTTGTTTCTGATCCATATGTCATTGTAGGTAATGTGCATTGATTAAACACATTCTTCTCTAGACACATTTCTCTGTCATATTTCATTATCAAGTGCAACGTTCTAAGGGCACCCCCTCTCATCTGCCTCTTTATTTATCTATGTCCATATTTGACCTTGTTTTCCAGTTTTATCCCTCCAACAGCTATCTACGATTGTTAGCGAACTTGTTGTACATGACCCTGTTTGCTAACATTAATCTTGAGCCCAACTTTGCAGCCATCTTTATTAATTTGTTCTAGCATCTCCTATAGATCATTTCCAGTGAAGTTGATTATGATCCGTCATCAGCAAAACTGGGATATGCGTTCCCCTTTTATATTCATGCTTTTATGTCTCAAATCCAATTTTTGGAAAGAATCTTCCTCATGTCGCTATGAAATTCGTGCAAGCATGTCATCTTGCCTGACTCCCCTTCAATATGAATTTAATTTTCAAGTTACTATGACAAATTACAATCAAATAACTTTTGGTTTTCATTGTTATTTATACGTGTGCTTCTTGATGTTGCAAACGTAATTCTCAGCAGAATATGAGCACACAATATATCTATCAATTCCAGTTGTGAAAATAGTCCTTGTGATACCTATGGTTTGAAAGGTGTGGCATAATTAATACAGGTAATGGTATTACAGTGGTCATAAATTAGCCATGCAATTCAATACTCACACCTTTCGACAGCATGTTATTATTAATACAGCACAACCATTCCCAGAAAAAGGGACATTCTTTCGTAGAAAACAGCACCTCTGGCCAGGTTAGTTTGTGCTTGAGATTGGTGTTGTATGTCAGGGGACTCTTGTAAGATGCCTCCCAAAAATAATAATCCACACTCTGACCTTCCCAGGTGTAAAAAAAAAAAACTTTGTTTGAACATCCAAATATTGGTGGCACAGCCCACTAACGTTTTTGCTTCCTCAGAATTGAAACGTTTAAACCCTCTGGCCAAAGTGTGTGAATTTAACAACATTTTATCACTGCAATGGATGAAAGCTATAACGTGGTATCCTACATTCATGAGAGTGAAAGCTGGATTCATGCTTGACCCTGGGTCATGGCCACTTACGTATGTATGTTGAACTTCTTTTGCACCTTACGTAGCAAACCGTGCTAATCGGCGATGTGAAAGGTCTGTGATGTAATGCATTGTGCCATTTCTGTGCACTTTCAAACGAGTGCCTAAAAACACGTTTCACACCAGGGACCCTTATCCTGTACCATAGGTACCTCGAGCTCAAACTGATGTAGGTTTCTATCAGCTAGAACAAATATGTACTATACTGTATAAATATGTGTGCACAAATGTACACGTGTCTGTGTAAATATACATATGTAAATTATCTGTGACTTCAGATTTAAATATATTTGCAAGGTGTTTTATTTTATTTCTTTCTTTCTTTCAACTTAGCATTTTAAAATGTTATCGCATTCGTGATTCCATCTGGATTCGAGTCTGCTTTGCATTTTTTTGACTAGCCCTTTCCCTTTGCAGTTCTACAAATCCACTCCTGCGGAAACCCAGGAGTGCCACCCGATGGAATAATGCACGGCGAGCACTTCAACATTGGGGACAAAGTGCGATACAGCTGTGCCAAAGGACACGTGCTGGAGGGCCAGCCCATCGTCACGTGTGTGGTGTACTCGGGCAACAACGTGGCCTGGGACTTTCCCATCCCGCAGTGCAGAGGTAAATTGAACGACAACAACAACAGCACCAGCAGCAGCAGCAAGATCAGCATTTGTTTCACCTGGTAAAATCAGCACTTGATTTATCATGTCTTCAGCTATGTATTTAAATGCATATAAACGCGTCGCATAATTCCCATTTGTATTCAATCTTGCATATTCCACGTGAAAAGTGGCTGTATCTCCGATGCAGCCTCTCAGTTATTTCTGGTCTTACTGACTACTCCCTCTCTCTGCCCGACCTTGGTAATATAAAAAAAACGGGCTGTTGTTAAATATGTAAAAATCTGAGGCCATGATCATAGGCAGTCGACAGGGGCTTTCCTGTACACTCTCTCTCCCTGATCTGGCAATAGCTGAGTGCCTCCTTTTGCCAACCACCCATCGTGAGATTCCTTCGAGATCAGAACTTGAGTTTCGACTTTAACATTTCATCCATTGTCCACATTTTGAATGACGATTATGCTGGGCGTTATAAGATTCATCTTATCCTGAATAATGGTTGTTAAACATCACAACCTACCGTTTCGTTAGATCGGGACTGAACTATTGCAATGGTGTCTTCTCCAGCATGCCTACAAAATATCTGAAGCATCTAGAGTGCATCCAAAGCTGTCTCACCTGCACAGTATCCAGAACTAGACATAAAGCCTTTACCCATTCCTGAGACCTTTACAATAAACTCCACTGGCTTCCAGTTCAAAATTGCATCCTGTCCAAAGTCGCTGTTCTCTGTTACAAAGTACACATGCACTGTCTCATCGTACATTCCATCTCAAGTGGCCTCCTTGTCAAGCCCCAAATCTTTCTGACCAGACAAGCCAAATGTCGCTTCTGTCTCATCTCTGATCATCTGCAATTCACTTCCTCTTATATTGGAAATGGCATCGACCTGCTGTCAGAATTTGAAGACTTCTCTCTCTTTCTCTTTCATTTATTCTCCCACGTCTAAATGTAATTTTAAAGTTCTAGTTGTGTAAGTTTTAACATTTTGAAAATGAATTATTTAATGAGCGTTAGTGCATTGTGCTTGCAATCCAAAGGACGCCAGTTCGATCTCCTAGTACAGCAGTTGAACCTCTTTGCACCCAACGTCATATATTAGTGGGTATGCCAGTTAGTAAATAAGCAGGTGGTGTGTGATTTGGTCATGTGTGGTCATTCCCACTTATTCTAAGATGTCTGGCCAGCATGTAAGAATAGCCCAAATACCTTAGAACTCAGCTGAGGCCATTCCACCAGTCGTGGCGTGAGCTAGAAAGAGGTGTGGCAAATTTACCTCATACCTTTACCTATATTCATATGTGAATAATCATACATTATTTTAAAGATTGTTTTTTAAATTTCAACATGAGCCCGTTACAGAGCACAGAATCTCCAGGGACAAAAGTCCCAAACTCTCTGATCCTGGCTTTAGAGGAGAGGATAAATTGGGTTCACTGCACCACCTAGGTGGGCATTTCGAGCATGTACATGTAATATGGAGAGGGGAAGACAATGGAGGAAGAACTTTAGCAGTGAGGTGGGTGAAAGGGATGGGGATAAGGAGGGGGGAGTCTGTTTACATATATCCTAAATCTCACATTGGTGAGTTTGAGAATATGGGGCCCTTTGATGTGAGTCTATCCGAAATGTAAGCATATACTTTTGCTTGAAATGCTCTTAGATATGGTAATGCAAAAACATGCAAATTACATGAACCTATTTAAATTTTAATATATTTGTTGATGAAATAAACAAGTCTTGCATAATGTTAAAATGACATAAGTTTCTCGTAATTTAAAAGTTATTTTTCAAGCAAAATTGGAATATAACTACTGACATTGGTATAAATCAATCGAAAAAAGTAGTGCCTTCAATGTGAGTTCATGTCAACTTATGGTTAACCTACTACATTTTAATCTGGTAAGGCTGCCGTATTTTACAACAGACATCCAACAACATGTTTAATGGCATGATATTATACAGCCACAAAATAGTGCAGAATATTTACGGTCTGCAGACACTACTTATCTATGCTTGGTGCACAAAAGAAAAAAATATGTTTATGTAATAATTTGATTAAAGTTTAGCATATGCACTTGGATGGAATCGCTAAGCATGCAGTTATAGTTCTAAAATATCTATTACCATATTGTGTATCCAAGTGGGTAAAAATTTCCTCCGTTTTGCCGTTGCTATGATTTACGTTGATACATAATCATGCTGTTAGATATGCCATCTTCGCTATGAAAATGATCAAGTTTCACTTTAATACCGAAAAAATATAATTTAGAGTAAAGATTTACTCTCATCTTCATCATCACTAGCAGTATTCATGATCTTTCCACTGCTCGAAGTAATGTTTACATTCACGCAACATATTTTACCAAACATATTTTCTTTAGTTCCAAGGGTCGTGAGTGCATTTAATGTATCCCTTTTTTTGTTAGGACAATTCCACGTGGTCTCGGTTGCATAGTCTCACTGTCATACCCTTCATAGTCTCATTATGACACCCGTACTGTTTGAACAAGACTCATATGTGACTCGAAGGTCCTATTTCCAATCCGTACCGTGGTTCTAATAAGTCGGTCATGCTCAGTTAAACTCTCTCACATCACCTCAAGAAAGATGCAATTACTTGTACATGTGTTCATCCATTCATATTATTATTATATGGAACATACTCTACCTACTCCAAACATGACAGTGATTAACACTGCCTGCAAGGGCAATTGTCATCTTTGGAAAGGATATTAAAATTGGTAATCAATCGAGGCACATTTTATGCTTATAAGCATTCTTTATCATCGACAGTCATGGTCTGCATAAATCTAACACTCGTTTAAAGTATCTCACTAACATAACAAGCGTGTGGATGTTCAGGGTCATTAAAATTGGGGATGGAAACAAAGTATTCATTGAGTTGACACATGCTATAAACATCCAATTCCTACAAATTGATTGGCTAACTTGAGCACACCCAACCAAAATATGATGATTATTATTATTATTATAACAACAGGTGGAGCAATGCGATGGACACATTGAGATTGTTCCAAATCGATTCCTCCTTTGCCCATGTCACTTCCTGCTTGCGCTCAACGAGAGCAACAAGCAGTTCCATGCTGACCTACTTTCTTCACGCACAGCTGCTCCATGGAGGCCGCCGGATTCACGGACATTCAGCAGCAGCAGCAGTATGCGATCGCCATCGTATACCATCTGTTGATGATGTTTCATTGCTCTGACTCTTGCTTGTCTATGCGGATGAGTAATTGAGAATTAGTTTTATTCTAAAAGCTGATCTGTCCCATTTCTTCATGAAGGTTTTCTTGAGCAAAGCATATCATTGAGTTTACATACATTGAGTTCGGTTTAGGGTTTGAGCAATGGCACAGTGCTTAGGGCACTGCACTATGAACCCAGCAACCGGAGTAAAATTCCTGGTCACGGATAACGTTAGTGCCGATTGATGTATAAACTGGTCCAGGATCCACAATCACCTGCTCACACTGACCAGCTTGGTAAAGTACGTTCAGATGGCCTCCATGACCAATTTAGCAGTGGGTTTACAAAAGCCTGTACATAACATCACATTAACTTTGCACTAAGTGGCCACTTGGAACATTTCTCCAGCTCAAGAGAACCTCTCTGAAAAAGAGCTTCATAGCTCATGAGATTCCTCAAGCATAAATACAAATTCTGATTCGGATTTTCTTATTGTTCACCAAACACCATGACTGATTTCTCATCTCATGGCCTTGAGAGTGAATGGTTTTCGAAAAGCATAATTTTAGGTGACATTGGGACTTGTGGCTTCAATGCACTCATGCCCATGTATCCAGACAATGAATGAATTACAGTCAAAGTAGCATATCGTTACTTGTCACAGCTCTCTTGATGAGATGAGAAGATGATTATTTGTGTTTGTTAATTCTACTCAAACTTATCTAAAATCAGCAAATGCGTTTATATTTTCATTTTGGTCTTGGAAAAGCAAAGCAATACACTGTTTAATAACTTTATGTGGGCTAAATCGCAAGTGACATTTTTAGGGAATGAAATAATGTTTGTAAACTAAAAGAAATTAACAATCATGTATCTGAACCTACTTTAAATTTCCTTCAAGTATGATATTTCTAAATGACATAAAAAAGGTCTTCCTGCAAATCCAATGATAAATATCTGCTGATTGGAGATGTTTTCTCTATGTAATTTATTTTCCTACCTAATAGTAAATGATTAATTTTTTACTTAAAACTTTCGTGACTGCAGGAATTCATTTTTTTAGTTATTTCGGTAAAGTCACGTGGATAGTGTGTGGATAGGCTACGCCCATGCTGCTGACACATTTGAGCTATGCCCATCTCTAAACCTTTATAAACAGTTTGCCTTTAGAGGCTCACTCCCCTTTTCCTGATGATGACCGCTTGTCTTGCGATCAAAACGTCGTGGTTTATTTATTTATTAATGAAAGAACCAATAATAAGTCTACATTATAGACTGCCAGTACGCTCACCCAGCTTAATAACCATTGCTACAGTCTGCATTATAGACTGCCAGTACACTCACTCCGATTAAGAACCAGGCTACAGTCTACATTAGTGTTTATTTTTATTTTTTATTCACTTTATTATTATTTTTCTATCTACGTGATTTTACCGAAAGAACCAAAGAATAGTAAGTGAGTCTCAGTGAGTACCTCGAGTTTTTGCTGTGGTTAAAAGCGAGTTATTGATATGCTGTGTGAATAACCAACTTGAAAGGCCCTTATTTATATTCAGGGAGGGGTGTGTACTTGCACACAATGATTGCGCCTTCAGCAATACTTTCTGAATGCCTTAGTTCTATGATTGTCAAAGTGCATGGACATTTGGAATTGGTGCCAAAATGTTCCGTGAATGAGTTTAAATGGGTGACGCTTCATAACTACATGCAGTACCAGACGTTAAATAATATGGGCTCTCCATAGAGTGCATGAACAGAATATTTATTCTTGTGTCTCAAACTACGTTTCCACATATTTTTCCAACTATGAAGTAGCGTTTGGTAATGATGTTGATCTTGCTAAAGTATTGTCATTGCAACTACAATTCTTTATTTTGAACTCAGTTATTGAGTATTCACAGTTATGTACAACAGTTATGGAAACAGACGACTGAATGTGCATTAAAATATGGGGAGAGTTAATATTGGTTGCAATTATATCTGGTTGGTGTCATTATTTCTGTACTTCGGATGTAAGTTAGCCATGCAATTCGGTTACATAATTACAGAACGCAAGTGATGTGCTTTTGACGGAATACAAATAAAGTGCCATTTGCCCGTGTGAAAATTCGTATTACTATGGCAGAGACCAGTTTATCCAAACAGCGATCACTCTCTATTCTACACTCGCTGAATAAGCGTCAGGTGATGCTTATTATAGCCACCATAGAAGGATGATAGGGCTGAGTCAATGTTGACTGTTAATTCGAGTTGTGTCTATTAAAGAAGAGCTTCGTACACAAAAAATAATAACATTTCTCTTTCGATATTGTCACTCTCTTAGCCAACTGGCCTTCACTAGGAAAAAGTGACGTCTACAGAGAGAGGAAGTCTTGAGGGCTCTTGGTTGGCGAGGTTGGGTTGTGGGTGTTGTCAGATTAAGATTTATCGGACAGAAGTGCAATAGGTTTTCTTTTTTCTTCAAATTTTGTTGACATTACATTCAGCACATGGCCAAATGTGCTTGTTTGATTAAACCAATTGTGATGAATAGGGCTTTGAATGTAAAGAAAAGCTTTGAATATTGAAAGAGTTGAGGATAGAACATCTAATTTAGTGATTCCTAAATGAAAGTAAATCTGAATTCAAGTAGTGACCTCCAAACTCTGAGTTATCATCTCACTGCCATCTCTTCTGATGCCTTCCTCTGCCACTTTGACATTCTCTCGAACTCCACTCCGAAGTTAGATGTGTTTCTCATCTCTGATCAGTTGTTCTCATGATGCGTCCTGCCCATTTCTACTTGAAATGTGTTTGCTTTAATAGCAGCGTCAATGACCCCTGTTAAATTCCTTATGTTGTAATTTGTGGAAGACTGCCTTCTGCTTTTTAAAATAACTTATTTTGCCAAATGCAGCCATGCACGAATTGCCAAATCATGCCTATGCAGCAAGTACACTATGACTCCAAGCATGCCTTTAACATACTTGTACACATACAAAGACTAAGGATTAATTGTCAATCTGCATGTCCGCACCTCCGATTAGCACGGTTGGATATGTACAGTGTGAGAAAAGTTCAATATACAAAAATGGATCAACTTTACAGGCATTTCGCAGAGATCAAGTTTTAAATGAAGGTTAGGAAGTTTGTTGGTTCTAGGTAAAGATTTAAACAACCTATATAATTAATTAAAAGTGCTTACGACATGTATAATACACAAACTTTGTCAAACCTGGATCGTGTGCTCTCTTCTATTCGACAATAAACACAATAATGTCAACGCTGCAACTCACGGTCCCAGCAACGCAGATGACAGCGGTCTCGGAACTTTCTCGCTCTTCATCCAACCACCTCCACTCCTAAATAAAACAAACCCTTTTCTCGCATGCACATCTCCCATCGGCTTATCTCCAAATTCACAACCAAAATCTTAAAATAGACCTGTCCATTCAAAGTAAAACAGGTTTTTTCCAGATGTAACCAACGAACAACTGCCACCCACCTATCACTTACAAAAAGCTCTCAGCCTTAAGCGTAATGTTAAACCACCAGATCCTTAGGACATGCTTTGAAATAAACTTGTCTTAAGTCACCAGCAATACATTGACAAAACGTCACTTTTGGTTGGCTATTCACATTTTACTTAATTTTCTGATGGTGGCCTAAGACAATATGACCACAATGCATTTCTTCAGGAAGTGGTGGTTTTGCATGATGCTTAGGGCTGAACTCGTTTTTGTACACACGCAGTGCAAGCTTTTTAAAGTTGTAAAAACTTTTCGTTTTATGGCCTGAGCTATTGGTTCTGTTGTGATGGGCTTTCTCATCATTTACATATTTGAGTTATTGAACCCCAAATGTGGCACTCTATAGTTGTGAGCCTCAAGATGTGTCCTGCCTCTGCCTCGTTGTGACAGAATGCATCTGTGGAGTTTGGCAACGGACCATATCTGGTCACATCAGAGAGGCTGTGGGCTCTGGACACAACATGTTCAGCTATTGGTTTAGCGAGGTCTGTAATGACAATGCATGTTAGGTGTTCGCTGAATCAGTTTGCCAGCCTAGCCTGGGTTTCACCAAAGTACAATGGCTGCATGAGATATAGTCACCACATTGGTCGTGGTACACGTGGATAACTGAATCATGTGACAAAGTCCCCTTGGTCACTGCACAAAGGTGGAATTGATGAACTGTGCACACGTTTTCTGGTGACTCCCTATATTTTTGTTTCCAGATTTTACAACTGTAAATAGAGCACTGTGAATGCCTGTGTTGTCCCTAACATAGACTTACAGTATCTTTACTTCACAAAATATGTAAGAAGAAACATTCCCACCAATTTATCTCCCTACTGATTTTATAACGTAGAGTCATACTTCGTTTATAATGTTGTCCCTGTGTCTGCTTTAACAAATTGTCTACGAGAAAGAAAAAAAAACCTTAACCGCCAAAGCTTGCCCTCTTACAAAGGCGTTTACATTGGTGCTGTTATTAACATTGATGATTGTTCGCATCTCGTGGTGGATCAAGGGAGAATGACGAATGGCTCTGTTGTGTTCTTTAGCTGAAGGGGCATGTGGAAGGACTCTCCGGGAAAACAGTGGCGTGATATCCAGCCCCAACTACCCGTCAGAGTACGGCAATGACGCGGACTGCACGTGGATTGTGCTGGCCGAGCAGGGAGACACCATCTCGCTGGTCTTCAACGATTTCCAGCTGGAGGAGAGATTCGACTCCTTGGAAGTAGAAGGAGCTGATCCATCATCAATTTGGCAAGTTATTTTTTTGTTCGCCTACATACACAGCTGTGTGCATGCTGAATCTCGTTGTCAATTCATACAAATCGGGGATGGAGCTTCGGTGCAGCTATTAGCACACTGCACTATGACACCGGAAGCCTGACTTTAATTACTTTCCACTGATGTGACATATCTTCTCGTAATTCCAAGGCAGTGATGCTTTGAGGTAAGTGGTTTATAAACGGGCCCTGGGTCCATCTGCACCATACACAGTGACCAATGTGGTAAAGAACAGTATGGTCAAACAACCTCCATAACTGGTATGCGGAGGCAGTATGTTGACCAGTGGCTAAATAATGTGTATTGAGTGACTTCATTTTAAGCGAAGCACAATTTCATAAATGTTTGCATTTTTGTTTGATGTTACAACTTTACCCTCTATGAAACCGTGATGATATATATGAACACGTGGCTAAACGATTCATAATAGATTTTTGGGTTCGGCCACAGTAATGATCTTGTAAAAATTAGTTTCATAAGACCCTTGACCACCTGACATTGCCACATACATTAAATTGTCTCGTTTACAAGTGTTTAACACACCAGCTTTTATTGTTTCAAATCACTAGTAAGCTGAAGACATATCTCACAACAAAATACTACAATTACATGCGATGCTTTGCTTAAAACTATGTAAAGTGTCTTTAGGAAATTCTAGGAAGTCTGAATAAAGTGAAAATAACCGTGTCATCTTGCCCAGCCTGACTAACTTTTTACATTAATAATATAATAATACAATAACAGATTTTTTTTTTTTTTATGATACAATTTATTAAACTTTCGTGACTGCAGGAATTCATATTCTTGGTCCTTTCGGTAAAGTCACGTAGATAGAAAAAATAAAATAAAATTTAAGTAAAAGAAAATAATTAAAAACAAAGGCAAAACAAAACCCCCCTCGACGTTTCAATGGCAACACAAGCGGTCTCCATCAGGCGGAGAGAAAAGAGGAGGGCAAGCCTGCCAATGCAACTCCTTATAAGGGCTTCCAAAGTGAGTGGGCGGGGCAGCAGCAAGGAAAGCTGTGCGGCGTCAACAGCATGGGCGGGGCAGCCAGTGACTAATGTTGGAGTAAAGCGCGAGACAGAGGTGGAGCTGAAGGCGAGAGGCGCAGTCCAAGTGTGTTAGACAATGGGGGGAGGGAGGGGGTAGAGATGGGGGGAGAGAGAGTGGGGGTAGAGATGGGGGGGAGAGAGAGTGGGGGTAGAGATAGGGGGAGAGAGGGGGTAGAGATGGGGGAGAGAGAGTGGGGGTAGAGATGGGGGGAGAGAGAGTGGGGGTAGAGATAGGGGGAGAGAGAGGGGGGGTAGAGATGGGGGGAGAGAGAGGGGGGTAGAGATAGGGGGAGAGAGAGGGGGTAGAGATGGGGGGGAGAGAGAGGGGGGGGTAGAGATGGGGGAGAGAGAGTGGGGGTAGAGATAGGGGGAGAGAGAGGGGGGGTAGAGATAGGGGGAGAGAGAGTGGGGGTAGAGATGGGGGGAGAGAGAGTGGGGGTAGAGATAGGGGGAGAGAGAGGGGGGGTAGAGATGGGGGGAGAGAGAGGGGGGAGAGATAGGGGGAGAGAGAGGGGGTAGAGATGGGGGAGAGAGGGGGTAGAGATGGGGGGAGAGAGAGTGGGGGTAGAGATAGGGGGAGAGAGAGGGGGGTAGAGATGGGAGAGAGAGTAGGGGTAGAGATAGGGGGAGAGAGAGGGGGGGTAGAGATGGGGGGAGAGAGAGGGGGGTAGAGATGGGGGGGAGAGAGTGGGGGTAGAGATAGGGGGAGAGAGAGGGGGGTAGAGATGGGAGAGAGAGTAGGGGTAGAGATAGGGGGAGAGAGAGGGGGGGTAGAGATGGGGGGAGAGAGAGGGGGGTAGAGATAGGGGGAGAGAGAGGGGGTAGAGATGGGGGGAGAGAGAGGGGGGGTAGAGATGGGGGGAGATAGAGGGGGGTAGAGATAGGGGGAGAGAGAGGGGGTAGAGAGGGGGGTAGAGATAGGGGGAGAGAGGGGGGGTAGAGATGGGGGGAGAGAGAGGGGGGGTAGAGATGGGGGGAGAGAGAGTGGGGGTAGAGATGGGGGGAGAGAGAGTGGGGGTAGAGATAGGGGAGAGAGGGGGTAGAGATGGGGGAGAGAGAGTGGGGGTAGAGATGGGGGGAGAGAGAGTGGGGGTAGAGATAGGGGGAGAGAGAGGGGGGGTAGAGATGGGGGGAGAGAGAGGGGGGTAGAGATAGGGGGAGAGAGAGGGGGTAGAGATGGGGGAGAGAGGGGGTAGAGATGGGGGGAGAGAGAGTGGGGGTAGAGATAGGGGGAGAGAGAGGCGGGTAGAGATGGGAGAGAGAGTAGGGGTAGAGATGGGGGGAGAGAGAGGGGGGTAGAGATAGGGGGAGAGAGAGGGGGGAGAGATGGGGGGAGAGAGAGGGGGGGTAGAGATGGGGGGAGATAGAGGGGGGTAGAGATAGGGGGAGAGAGAGGGGGGGTAGAGATGGGGGGAGAGAGAGGGGGGGTAGAGATGGGGGGAGAGAGAGGGGGGGTAGAGATAGGGGGAGAGAGGGGGGGTAGAGATGGGGGGAGAGAGAGGGGGGTAGAGATAGGGGGAGAGAGAGGGGGTAGAGATGGGGGGAGAGAGAGAGGGGGGGTAGAGATGGGGGGAGATAGAGGGGGGTAGAGATAGGGGGAGAGAGAGGGGGTAGAGAGGGGGGTAGAGATAGGGGGAGAGAGGGGGGGGTAGAGATGGGGGGAGAGAGGGGGGGTAGAGATGGGGGGAGAGAGAGGGGGGTAGAGATAGGGGGAGAGAGAGGGGGAGTAGAGATAAGGGGAGAGAGGGGGGTAGAGATGGGGGGAGAGAGAGAGGGGGGTAGAGATAGGGGGAGAGAGGGGGGTAGAGATAGGGGGAGAGAGGGGGGGTAGAGATAGGGGAAGAGAGAGGGGGGTAGAGATAGGGGGAGAGAGGGGGAGTAAAGTGCGAGACGGAGGTGGAGCTGAAGGCGAGAGGGCGCAGTCCAAGTGTGTTAGACAATGGGGGGAGGGAGGGGGTAGAGATTCACATTTTTCATCACAATACTCTCTGTATAGTTGAAATATTAAAGGTGTTTATTATTGAGATTTGTTTTTGAAGCTGATCAAACTTGGCTTCAAAAGAAGCATTGTTTACATGCTTATTCATTATATAAAACGAATAATGAAACAACTCCCAGGCGGGCTTGATGTAAAATCAAGTCTGGTACCATAAAAAAAAATCACCGATGTAACATTTTTAGTTTCTTAATGCCAAGGCTGTTATATTCCAAGGCTTATTAGATAAAACCGAGAGTAAGAGAACAAACATCAATCAGTATTGCTTGCGAAATGCTACCATAATTGCCATTTAAAGTTGACGTTAGAACACTTTAAAATGACTTCAAATGGCAGGTAAATTTTCTGTTTATTGTAATTTTTGTTACTTATCCCCCATTTTTAAATAACGTGTTAAGCGGCAGTGACTGGATTGGCACACAGTCACACTTGCATGTGTTGGGTTTTTGAGAGGTTTAGGAACGATGCGATTTATTTACACCAATTACCATATGGAACATTCACTCTCGCTATCGCATGAAGTTGGTTGCAATGCCAGGTTAAGTCCTTTCAATAACACGTCTAGGCAGTGGTACAAAGACTGCATTGTTGTAGAAATAAATTGGCATTCGTTAAATGTATCTCAACATCTTGTGATGCATGAGAAACGGAACCTTTTTACATTAAACCGTTATGCTTGCAATTTGTGCCCGTCACTCCATACTTTATGTACACAAATGCTATTGCCATTACATAGATAATGCGATTTATAATAATGCTACATCAACATACACCATTGTAATGTAAACGTCAACAAGTTAAAAACAAATGTAGCCAATTATATATCTTGGTTGTGAGCAATTTGTCATGCTGCCCAATAAAGTCTCAGCGTAAGTCTGCACCGTAACGTAGATAAAAAAAAGTTTCTATCTTACAGAAAACTTTCATCGGTGGCTTTATCAGACAGATAACTTCCATATTCTTGATTCTTTCGGTAAAGTCACGTAGAAGGGAAACAATAAAATAATAAAAATATAAAACAATAGTGAGGATTTTATTGTTTTATATTTTTATTTATTTTATTGTTTCCCTTCTACGTGACTTTACCGAAAGGACCAAGAATATGAATCCCTGCAGTCACGAAAGCTTTAAATCAAAAGATAACTTCCATTTAAATAATTTGCAGATAGTTTCTCTCCTGGGCAATGAAAACACAAGGAGATTAATGGAAGTGTCCTCTCCTTCCCTGATTTGACGTAAAATATCATGATTACATTTTCCTCAGCTTACTGGCTTAAAATGTAATGTGTCATGAATATATTTGAGGGAATAAATGTGCCATACTTGCTCTCTTTTAGTGATTTCATGTAGATGTATTGATGATGGCACAAACATATGAATGTACCAAACAGTATATCAAACAAAGTCGGTATAATTATTGGAAAAAGAATACATTACTGGAATGCTACCCACTAGAGAGCTGCATTGACTTTGAACCAATTCTTAATTTAGATGCGAATCTCCGTTTAAAAATTGTAGTTGAAAAACACGCGTGCAAAGAATGTAAGCGCTTACAAAGTAAGAATGGCAGCATGTGTGTATTTTGATTTTTTCTACATATATTAATTTCAATAAAAACAGTGTAGCTTGCTGAGCGGGCACATGCAATGTCATGCATTAAAAAGGTTAACATTTTGATCGATATGTCAAGCAAACTTAACAGGCTAGAGAATCTTGCTCAAACAAGCAATGGCTCGAGGCATGTTCTTACTAACACATCACTGCCTGAACAGCAAAAACATACAGATGCCGCACATAGCTCTGACTGATGTGGTAATCCAGTGTACCCTCTTGTAGTACATGTACAGCAGCACATGGCATGTGGAAGAGGATAATTATCAACATTAGACATTTTGTCCATGTGGCCAGAACCATGTATTTTA